GTGCCTGTGCACTTTTGATCGTTGACATTGTAAGCATTGCTTTACCCACATACGGACATCTTTATTCATGGACGGCCAGACGTATCGTGCAGCGATGAGACGTAAAGTGGCTGCGATACCAGGATGAGATAAACCATGTAGGGCATCAAAGACGAGACGGCGATAAGCGGAGGGTACGATAGGTCGAGGGAGGCCCGTAGAAGTATCACATAGGATAGTACCTGAGCTAGTAGCTAGGGGTACTTCCCGACACTGAAGGGACGTAGACTGTTGTGCTTCCGTGCATGAAGTATCGTTTGCTTGGGCGGCGGCCATAGCATGTAGGTCAAGCACTGGCAAAGTAACTGCATTAAGTTGGATACGTGATAAAGCATCAGCAACACAGTTCAACTCGCCTTTGACGTGACGAAGGTCTGTCGTGAACTGGGAGATATAGTCTAAATGTCTGCACTCTCGTGGTGAGTAGCGGTCACAGTTGGTATGCAGAGCATACGTCAAGGGCTTATGGTCGGTGAATAAGATGAAATTACGACCTTCTACATCGTGCCGGAAATGTTTGATGGCGCAGTAGGCTGCTAGCAGTTCGCGACCAAAAGCGCTATATCTCGTCTCCGTGGGAGTGAGGCGTCGTGAGAAAAATTCGAGGGGCTGCCAACTACCGGAGATATTCTGTTGCATAACGGCTCCTATGGCGAAATCCGATGCATCAACCGCTATACTAAGCGTGGCTGATGGGTCAGAATGCACGAGAAGTGTGGCTTGAGCTAGGGCCGTTTTGATATCTGAAAATGCAGTACGTGCGGCGTCGTTCCATTCCAGTTTGCGTGGATTACCGCGAAGTAAATCGGTTAACGGTCGTAACTGTTCTGCCGCGTGCGAAAAGAAGCGTCGGTAGAAGTTGACCAAACCGAGAAATGCCTTCAGTTCCTTGAGTGTGGACGGTACAGTGTACTCCATTATAGTACGTACTTTATCCTCGCAAGGTAGAATACCCTCATGCTTAATAACATGACCTAAGAATTTTATTTCCTTCTTCTCGAGTTCACACTTGTCGGGGTTGACTATTATTCCATTATCCGAAAGGCGCTAGAATAGTAGCGTCAGGTGTTGATAATGTTCATCTACGTTTGATGATGCGATTAGCAGGTCATCAATATAGACGTGAACAAAATCTAGGTCTCGTACAATGCTATCGATAAACCTTTGGAAAGTTTGAGCAGCATTCCGTAATCCAAATGGCATTCGTAGGAACTCAAATAAACCGAAAGGAGTCGTGATAGCAGTTTTCTCTATATCTTCAAGAGAGACTGGGATCTGGTGATATGCTCGTACCAGATCGATCTTGGAAAAAATTGTCGTGCCCTTGAGTGATGCCGTGATGTCATGTATGTGGGGGATGGGATAGCTATCGAAACGTGTAGCTGTGTTTAACGCTCGGTAGTCTCCGCATGGTCTCCAACTAACCCCATCCTTTTTTCGAACCATGTGGAGAGGTGAGGCCCAAGGACTGTGAGAAGGACGAATAATACCAGTAGCTAGTAAATTGTCGAACTCACGTTTAGCGAAAGCTAATTTGTCCGGTGCCAGTCGGCGAGGTCTTGCCGTGACTGGTGGTCCGCGAGTGACTATGTGATGTACCACACGATTGGTCACCGATGGAGTCTCCTCGAGAGGTTTAGTTAATTTGGAGAATTTCTGAAATAAAGCGTGGAATAAATCCTCACGCGAATGAAATACACCTGTGATTCGGTACGCGTTTGTGTGGGCTTTAGAGCCCATAAAGTTGCTGTTCGACGAAGTATCAATTAGCTGCAGCCTACGTGAATCGACTAGCAATTCATAGTGCTGTAGGAAATCGATACCGAGTATAGCTGTGGGAACATCGGCAATGATGAACGTCCACAGATACTGTCGTCGGTTGCTCAGGTTGACCGTAAGTTGTCGTGTACCATAGGTGGGAATGACTGAGCCATTCGCAGCGCGTAGTCGAAGCATAGTGGCTTGAGACTTACTGTTACCGATAGGTACGACAGAAACTTGGGCACCCGTATCCACAAGGTACCTAGCGTTGGTGCGATAATCGTGCACATAAAATAAACGGCCAACCTGAGGTGAAGTGCCGGCGAGTACGGCCGCATTTACTCGCCGGCTGAGAAGTTTCCCGCCTTGTATGAGCAGGGAGCTCGACAATGACGGGCACCGGCTCCGAAAGCACGGTGAAACCAGCACCAACCTGGACTCGCTTCCGAAACCGCCTTCTGGCGTGGCTTGGAAGATGCCCGCTTGGGGCGAGTCGTTACGGCCTTACGAGATTGTGACCTGGGTCGGGGGACGTAGGGGGCTGGCACATTTGCGCGGTCTCGGAAACTGAGACGAGTATGGATACATCTGTCCCTATCCCCATGAGCCGGAGGTCGTCTAGCATCGAGATCAATGTTAGAACGGGAAGTACTAGCAACCAAATAGTCGTCTTTGGTGTTAACTCGTGCTAGAATCTTATCTGCTATGAGGGCCACCTTGTTGAGCGGGGTGTCCTAGAGCAGAGCCGTAAGGGTTGGCTGGATACTGACTGGTAAGGCTTCGAGCCACAACTCTTTGACTATCTCAGAGTCAGCTGTCATGTTTCCTGCAAGGGATTGCAGGCGCGTGATGTGATGGCTCGGCTTAGCATCACCCATAGGGTGACGTGCTAAAAGTGTCCTCAATCGTTCCTCTCTTGATGGAAGGAAATGTCGAAGGATGGCATCCTTAAGACGGTCATAAACGTTCGGAACGTTCGGATTGAGGACAACCTCACGGACAGCGGTTAGGTGATCCCCGGGCAATGATTCCAAAGCGTAGGCGTATTTCTGCCTTTGATTGGTTATGCGGCGGATCTCAAATTGAGATTCCAGTGCCGCGAACCAGACTTCTGGATCATGAGGGATGAAAGGAACCGGTCGAAAACTGATAACCTGTATCTCGGAGTCTATCATATTTATGTTATTCTTATCGTTATCTACCATATTAAGTTGCCAAAATACTATATATTGAAAAATATCAATACGAATATATGCAACAGATGTGGATAGATAAATAGACTCACCGGATTGATCTGGTTTGGAGAATTGGCCAAGTTTGACTTGTGCTCGATGGATTGGGTTACCAGCTGTATTGCGTGTTCCAAATACGGCTCACCAGTTGTAGTGGATGTCGAGTCGTGGACGGACTATGATCACCACTACTATTCGATTACGCGTACAAATATGACTTGGTTCCCTTGATAGCCCGTAAATCAGAAGGCTTTACTAGTCCAGATCAAGTATATTTATTGGCGATCTCGTGGTATCGAAATAATACCGAGACGTGCCAAAGAGTACAAGCGAATAAGCAATGCGTGAGCAAGCTCGAACCAAACAAGGCGGAGAGCGGAAGCAGAAGTGAAACTGATACAGTTAAACAAATACAGTAAAACAATCTCTGGTACAATTGGTTACAATAATAATAATTGTTTCTATTATTCCAATCGTGTTCTTATCGAGACTGGCCGGTCACTACAGGTGCATGGCCGAGCGCATTAAGCTAAAATGAGTTCATTAAAACTAATGCGCTCATTATCCAGTGTTGAACACTTACAGAGCTATTGAATTTGGGGATTAATTTACCGCTAAAGTACTGAGAGATGCGTTCCCGATCTTGCCGGTACTCCTAATTTTATAATATACAGGTTAGCTAAGCCAAGGTATGATCCCAAGAGGTCGAAGGCTGACTTATTTTTAAATGAAGCCGATGCAGTGAACCTCTAGGCTACTGATAGGTATCACTTTCAATGGCCTCAGAAGTTCTGGAAACCTGACACATAACCGTTACGTGACCATGTTACCCACAAACTTCCTTCCACCCTGACAGGACGATTTGAAGAAGAACCAATCCTGCATCCTTGTTCTGCCGATTAAAGTAGATGGACTGAAAACCGGCCTCGATCGCAAGTGAAAAGTGGCTACAATCTACCTTGATTTCTCAAAAGCTTATGAGAGAGCTCCCCATCCGTTCCTTATCAATAAGTTCGATTTGATGGACATCAGGTGATCACTGACAGACTAGTTTAAATCGGATCTAACCAACTGACGTCGTAAGATCAGGTTGGATTTTACTCTTTCCAGGGCTACAGAATGACCACGTTTGATCCTCTAGGGCTTAGTATCAGGATCTCTTCCCTTTTTAGTTTTGTAAATGGCTTTTCACATCAAGTATAATTTGGAGTATAACACTTTGCGGAAGATGTCGAAATTTTAGGAGAAATTGATAAAAATAGGATAACAAGCTGGGGATTCGGGACAATCTAACGATAATCAATTTACTTTCAGTTTATCAAAAGGTGAGGTAGTCCATTTGAGACAAGTTACAAGGTAGGCAATTGCCTTTGGAGTTGTCTCAGGTGGTAAAATATGTAGGTGTTTTAGTACATTAGCAACTATGAACAAAGATTTTGATAAGTTTTACAGAACTTTCTACCAACGTTTTAATTTTTACAGCTGCATTTACAATTTTCACTCCACTACTGAGTGGTAACAATATTTCGGAACACATCCAAAAGTGAGCAACAAATTTAGTTCAGAGGTCTTTTATCAAACCTCATTAAGAGCGTCTCAAACGACTGGGTCCTTACCCAGTATAGGATAGACGACTCAGAAGGAATCATATGAGGACCTATAGGATAGTGAACACTTCTGGAAGTCTTCTTGAACTTTTTGCTCGCTGATGTGTTCTAGACGACATTCTCAGAGTCCTCTGAGAGGAAATTCGATATATATTCTGGAGAACTGTGGATAACATTGATTCTCATGCACTAATATTTCACTTTTCCTTGTTTATTATAACTCTGTTAAACCCTTTTGGGATCGACGATTTCCTGCTACTAGACACAGCAACGTATTCTCCGAGAAAGTCTTAAAATTCCTTTACAACTATTTGAACCATTCGCATTAGTAGTTTGAATTTTTCGGCGATTTTTATATGCTACTCAACCTTGATATTACCTTGGAAAGGCGGGTTCTTTAGTTTTTTATCTTTTAAGATGGCCTCAGGAGCATAGTGAATAGTATTCATTGAGAATGATTCAGTTGAAATTATCCGACAGTGACATATGTGAAAGACGAAAGGCACAGTTAAAGGAGTGGTGTGGCTCAGAGACTGATCATGCGTCATCAAAAATGCGGGAGCCAGAGAAAATCAAGTTTCCATTATCGGTCCAGTTACTTGCCGCATGTAGTAACAGTGATTTGGATGAGTTTTCCCGTTTACTTAAGCTTGGAACGGACATTAACACACAAAATGCTGACGGATTAACCAGCACGCACTTAGTATGTCGTGGTTTTCTTCAAACCTCTTATTATAAGGCTTGTATCAATGTCGACTTTGATTTTCTAAAGTTTCTTATCAGCAATGGTGCAGATATCAATCTACAGGATCACGAAGGCTGGACTCCTTTGCATGCAGCAGCTTCTGTGGGTTGCTGTGAATTGGCCAGGTCGGTATTCCATGTCAACTGATAACTAACATTAGGTCCTAATCTGAGTTTGTGTCCACTAGCAGTTTCATTTCTGTACTTCCAGTTTAGGCTTCAGTAACCGCCAGAGTTCTTCACATAGAAAAAAGTGATGCTCTAAACTAACATTTTGGTGATATAGGTCCTAGCTTAAACCGTTATTTAACCCAGTCATTAGTTATTTTATGTAGTAATTTTCATTGTCTCTTCTCACCATATGGATTATAATAATTGGGACACCACCTATGTCCTTGTTGGTTTTCAGTAGATTACATATTTGCTGTGCTGTTTGAACGGGAAGTTGAACATAACATGTAATTTCCACTTATCGAGAAATTACTTTCCCCTATTCTAGTGTCTCATCATTTCCTTAGTGAACATAATGGAGTAAAAGTTTAAAAACGAGTCTGTAACTATGATAGCGAGTAACTTTTTGTTCATCCCTAATAAGCCTTGTCACTTATATTATCCGAGATTGTAGAAACTGTTTTATATATCAGGTAGCATTCATGCTTTTTTATGAATATGATGTGTATTTCGAGCTAAATGAATACAAGGTCTAAATTTTAGGCGGAGTTTCTCAACTTCGACCAACTACTTTTGTTTGCAATTTTATAAGATTTTATACCCACTTTGTAATGGTTTTCATTGTTTAGTGGTTCGTCCTTAACCTCGGGTAAGGATAGAGATTTGTTGTCGTTAAAGGCCACCTTTAATACTTCATTATAGACTTATGTTTGGAGCCATTAGTTAGGTTTTCCTCAAACCAAGAAGAAAAAGCGTTATATGTTAGGTTCGGCAGTCTAGTTATAGCTATCAGCACTGAGTTTTTTCTGCAGACGGTTTCATACTTTCATATTGTTTAAATGTGATTTTTGCAATAAATTATAGGTCTTGCAAGTGCAGAGCAATCTTTCTGTCACTATGCTTGATATCGTCCCATATGATTTACTTTGATGGACCTCCTTTTAGGACCTATTAAGAAGTATAGACTGCCGTTTTAACAGTTGCTCATATATTTTGTTTTTTAATTGATCCCTGAAACCCCGTCACTCTCTTTTAATTTTCTTAGTCTGTATTCAAACCATAGTAACTTCAGCTTAGTTTATCTGGGTGAACTGATAATTTTTTAGTGATAAACCAAACATTTGTTGGGGACTCGTGGTGATACGTGTAATAACGTTACTGGATGTTTTACAGTTTTAGTGATCTCTTCTGCGATACTGCAAAAATGGTGAAATCTACATTTTCCTGTTGGACGATTAATCTCACTTAATTTACTCTGATTAGGTATAGTAGGGGAAAAATAAAGGTAGCTGAAATAGAAAAAAACTATACGATTTCTCAATGATTATACACAGTTGCTAGGTCGTTGAAAGCTAGCGTTTTATTAATCGGTCAACTACGTTATTTGTTAAGTGTTTCGAGGTATAAAATGTTAGAAAAACTCTCACGGAGGAAAGTGGGCTAGTAGTATACACTAGGAATGGTAACTCAGTATAATAGTATGTTATGGTATTATGGTTTTAATCAGATCGCTCTCATTTCTTGCTGCAATTTTTAAAATTTATAGCATCTCAATGTAAATACTTCTCTGTTGTCTAACGGGTTTCTATGGTTAACAAATTTGTGTGAACCAGACATGTTTCTACCTTGTGCATGCCATACCCATAGACTGGGACTATATAGCAGTGACATTTATTGATCAAGGGTCGGTATGCCCTGGTGCGGCCGAGAGTGGGAAGAGTCCTCTCTCCCTCTCGAAATGCTCTCGTATGGCTACGCGAATATATAGCCTCTGCCAGGGAAGTCCTACTCACTGTCTTCTCGTGGTGGGGGTGTTGTTCACAAAAGTGAGAGGACGAAAAGCGAATGTCCGGCGCTTTAACCGGGTTGGTGGATATGAAGGATCCACCTAGGGGAGTTGGAAAACCCTGATTCCAAACTAATGGTGCACATGGGCTCCAGTATCCTGATGGAACAAACGGAGTATGAACCGATCGTTGGTCACGGGCTGCCATGGGACTACATCTCCTCACGATGCTCCACTGCCTTGTGGATCAGACCTTTAGGTCAAAGGCTCGGGGTGTGTCCCCCTGAGAAAACCACCTGCTTCAGTCTGGGCAGTATCACAGCCCTCACACAAATCGAATGAGATTTGTGAGGCGCATATGTATCTGGTGCTTCCTTGTACCAATATTTATGTGTTTAAATAAAATAAGTAAAAATAAAATGCCATGGTACGGCCGAGAGTGGGGAGGGCCAACCCTTTCTTGAAATGCTCTCACACGGCCACGCCTATACAGCCTCTGTCAGGGAAGTCCTACTCACTGCATTCTCGTGGCGGGGGTGTTGTTCACGAAGTTGAGAAGATGAAAAGCGAATGTCTGGCGCTTTAACCAGGTTGGTGGACACGGAAACTCCACCTAGGGAGTTGGAAAACCCTGATTCCACACCAATGGTGCATACGGGCTCCAGTATCCTGATGGAACAAACGGAGTATGAACCGATCGTTGGTCACGGGCTGCCATGGGACTACATCTCCTCACGATGCTCCACTGCCTTGTGGATCAGACCTTTAGGTCAAAGGCTCGGGGTGTGTCCCCCTGAGAAAACCACCTGCTTCAGTCTGGGCAGTATCACAGCCCTCACACAAATCGAATGAGATTTGTGAGGCGCATATGTATCTGGTGCTTCCTTGTACCAATATTTATGTGTTTAAATAAAATAAGTAAAAATAAAATGCCATGGTACGGCCGAGAGTGGGGAGGGCCAACCCTTTCTTGAAATGCTCTCACACGGCCACGCCTATACAGCCTCTGTCAGGGAAGTCCTACTCACTGCATTCTCGTGGCGGGGGTGTTGTTCACGAAGTTGAGAAGATGAAAAGCGAATGTCTGGCGCTTTAACCAGGTTGGTGGACACGGAAACTCCACCTAGGGAGTTGGAAAACCCTGATTCCACACCAATGGTGCATACGGGCTCCAGTATCCTGATGGAACAAACGGAGTATGAACCGATCGTTGGTCACGGGCTGCCATGGGACTACATCTCCTCACGATGCTCCACTGCCTTGTGGATCAGACCTTTAGGTCAAAGGCTCGGGGTGTGTCCCCCTGAGAAAACCACCTGCTCCGGTCTGGGCACCCAGGCAGTACCATAGCCCTCATACAATTAAGTGAAATGACAATTTTTTTGTGTGGCGCATATATATCTGGTGATCTCTTGTACCAATATTTGTGTTCAAATAAAAACTAAATAATAAATAATCTATCAAGTGCTTTCTTGGTCACTTTCACTGACGTATTTTAAATAAGCTCATCTTGTTGATGAGGGTTCATCCCTGGGTTTAACTGTCAAATGACTCAATTTCAGTCATTCCTAAGTAACGTAGGATTTGCCACAAATGATCTCAGGTTTCCACATCACAGCAGCTCAGCACGATAAACAGGAAATCATAATAGAGCTGAAGTTATAATAAGATGTAGGATAGTGAAAAAGAATAAATATAGAATATTTCTAAAATTAGGAGTAAAGTCAGACAATGAAAAGTTTAAAACCGTGAAAGTCACTGTCTAAAGAAAAATTAGGAACGCACACATCTTCACTAATATGGCAGATTCTGATTCATATCACGCAAAGTCTTTAACCATTGATTACATTTACCATGAGTATAAGGAGGTAGCTTTCACCTTCAAGCACGGCTCAGATCAACAATCTATGACCTCCTGGACAGACTCCACTTCTTGGTTTGTCCGCCCTAGCAGTAATCAAAAATAAATCATATAGAAAGTTACTGTTTATGTCTCATAAGTTGAAATATTGATCAACTGTAGGCATTTATTTTCATTTTCTAATGAACTTCCGTGGCGTAGTAACTTTGTACATGAATTTCACTCTTTAGATAAATCTAAAGGAATGTTAACAATATATGCGATACTAGACTAAGTTGATTTCAATAAAGTACGGTTATTTTATAGTGTGCACTGATCAATGGGTATAAAATCTGTTCACTTTGGATCGTCAGTCAAAGCAACAGAATTTCAACTGCTTCGACTTAAACTTAAACGACATTTACCTACTTCACTTCTAAATACCAGTAGCTATCATCTACTTTTATGCCTGAATATCGGCTCAAAATTGAGTGCTTGAGCTTGTTTTTGTTTGTTGAGAATCATGTATTAAGTGTTGGCTAATCAGTCAGGCAAATAGATTCATCCAAATACACCCATAAAATACATTGACATTTGTGGTCGTCCAACCACAGAGTTTATTGTATATGGTCCTGTTTACATTTTTACCACTTATTCTGTAGTTTTGAAGGATTCGCGCGTTATCGATAACCCAGTATCACCAACATTTTCTAGTCTAAAAGAAATAATAATATTATTATAAAATGTTTACTTACCCATTTTTTTCACGTATCTAAATTTAGTTTAGACGTGTTATCCAACCTGCTATACTCTGTTCTTAGCGTGTTAACAATGTTCTTTTACTTACTACTTACTTACGCCTGTTACCCCTTGTGAAGGAGCATAGGCCGCTCACCAGCATTCTCCATCCAACTCTGTCCTGAGCCTTCCTTTTCAGTTCTTTCCAGTTTCTATTCAACCTTTTCATATCGGCTTCTATTTCCCGGCGTAGTGTGTTCTTTGGCCTTCCTCTTTTCCGCTTCCCTTCCGGATTCCAAGTTAGGGATTGAGTCGTGATGCACATTGGTGATTTCCTCAATGTATGTCCGATCCACTTCCAACGTCTTTTCCTAATTTCCTCTTCAGCTGGAAGCTGGTTTGTCCTCTCCCATAAAACGCTGTTGCTGATAGTATCCGGCCAGTGGATGTTGAGTATTTTGCGTAGACAACTGTTTATAAATACTTGTACCTTCCTGATGATGGTCGTAGTAGTTCTCCACGTTTCAGCTCCGTACAGTAGGACTGTCTTGACGTTCGTATTAAAGATTCTGACCTTGAAATTGGTTGAGA